AGCGTGGAGGTCACTGTTCATAGTCCTATTTGTGACAGTACATTCAGTGTGAAGGAGGGTTAACGGTGAGTGCAGGTATAAAGAGTATGTCTTTCATCATTAATGAAATGAGGATGAAGGGCAAATCCACTTGGTGCTAACCTGAATCAAAGATTACATGAAATGAGACAAGTGTCTTGTAGTGTAGTAGTACAAAGGCGTTTCTATTCATTTGCTTGTAAAAAGAGAGAATACTTGAATACTTGGGCCTAAGCAGGACGTACGAAGAGTTTAAGGCTCAATAAGAGGTTATTCAGAAATACCCTACGAATTTGTGTAGGTCCACAATCAATAAGTGTAACTGACCTGTTGAGTAAAAAAAGTGTTTCTAACATTTGTGCATTAGGAATCAACCTATCTATATTTGAAAATATTTGGTATTTTATTGTCCTGCTTTGGTTTAACTTTCTATTTTTACTGCATACAGCACCTGGAGCTGGTCTGAATGGTGCTCTATAAACTTGCCAAGTGATTTTAGATACTGAAATTCACATCTTCTTAACCCCCCTTGGAGGTATTTAGAAACTTGACTGACTGGGTTTATTCTCTTGACATTGTGTCCAACAAAATCGAGCAACTACTTTTCGTTTCTGATAAATGTACTATTCACTACTAGCCAAGCTCCAAATGAAATGGTTAGTGACTTAGTTTTCATCATAACCAAGCACTCATGATTTATGTCAGATATTTCTTTGTTAATTGAGCCCCAAAAGAGAGCAAAAAGGGAAGCAAACATTGGACATTAATTTCTGGACAGAAACACAACCCTCAATGCTTATCTTTCTAACCTAACTGAATAATGAGATGGTCAAATTGATATGTTCTATACAGCTTGTTCTTCTCTATCTCTATGTGGACATAAAACATGAACACCGCCAATAAATCCCTAAACATACAGTAGAATCCAGAAACGTACAAGCTCATCGCTGCATTTTAAACATTGGAAGCGTTGCAGCTCTCAAGTCTCAAGCAAGTAACAACCAAGTTGAAACAAGCACACTGTTGCGAAAATGTTGTATCCGGGTTCTTTGAGGCATAACCTGAGGCAGGAGAACACTGGGGACAAAAAGGCTGTGATGCAAGTATTTCTTCAAAACAAACGCAAAGCACACAGGCGGAGTGATGCAGCCATACACACAGCATACCGATAAGAATATTCTCAATATCATGAAAGCATCTCTAAAACCTAAACTCAGATGACGCAGTGACCTTTGCTGTTAACTGAGTTGCTCTTAGATTCCAAGTACGTATTTCATGTTGTGACTCAACACACGGATACTTTCCAAAAAGTAATTATACATTCCTTCTCTTTTAATTGTGTTTGCAATTCTTTTCATTTCTCACAAATTCAAAAAGAGTTTCTCCTTTAAATAAAACATTTAACATGTAGCTTCTTTCAGGAAAACTTGGGTTGACCGTTTGTTATTCAAACAAATCATTAAAAATTCCCTTTAAGTCAGATTTTTGCTCTCGATTAATAAAGGTCCAGACTTCAAAAGAAACCTTTAAGTGTTGTAAGTTTGTGTCCATGTTTTATACATGCACGCTTGTCTGAGCTGCTTCTGTTTGCTATGCCGGCGAGTGTGAGCAGCTCAGGTTGCTTTTTGAAGGAAAGGTAGGATTCTCTCATCATCATTTCAATGGCTGCTGCCTGGTGCATTGAGACAGATCTGCACATAGGTCTTACTTCATGCATCCACCACACCTTAATCATCCGACGTGACACTGTCAGGAACCTTCAACAAAGTGACCCAAATCAAAGTCTTTGTGCTGTACAGAAAACAAAAACAGTTCGTGACCAACATTCCAACCAAGCACACATCAAAGGCAGCATGAGGCTTGAGAGAGGACCGGTAATGCACAGGATATTTATGGGAAGAAGGGATGAGCTCTGAGGTGGACGGCCCTATAGCAGGCTGAACTTTACTGAAGGGCCAAAGTCAAAGCAAAAGTCACATACACACACAGGCACTGGTCAAATACCAATTTCCTCTCTACATATGCTCAGCACCAATCCAGAGCTTATGCAGAGGAAGTTGGTCAAAGTCATATTGGTTTTGAGATTCACTGAAGGGAATCAATCCCTGCCTTGCTGAGATAAAGTAGTTCCACGTTCCCTCTGCTGAGCGAAGTCGACTCAAATTAACAGACTTTCTGCAACAACTCACCAGGAGGAGATTAAACATTGTATTAAAACGAAGCATCTCTTCCTTAACGTGCAGAATGAAGTCTATGTCGGAGCTGCAGCATGGGCGCTGCTTGGGCAGCAGAACTAATTTGAATTGTGAATCATATAGGCTCATCCACAGGTCAAACAGCCCCCACTGAATCAAGCATCCCCATGAAAAAGCTGCTCATCTTTGAAATGTTTCCTCACTGGATGAATCAACAAGCAAACAGCATATCGAATCAAGAGAGTTTTCTCGGCGTGTCGGCACGTGTTACACATGCATCACCGGCGGTGCAGTGTAACACATCATGTCTGCTTGTGTTGAGAAGATTTGAAATATGGAGCCTGACATTGTTAAGCATAGTGCGGTTTCCTCCCATTGATTCTGTCATACGTGAATCATCTTTAGTAAATATTTACACATTGAGTAGCTTGCCAAATTTTGTGTAACAATAAAAAACACTGGAGCAGGGGTTCCCTTTCTGCCGGTGGTACAGGAGCTGACAGAAGTGAAGATATTTTTTATCTTTAGCTTATTTAGTGAGACACCTAAAAGGTCCAACTACCCATTAAATTACAAGGACAAAAGCAGCTATTGGAGTCACAAAAAAAGTTTTGCAAGAATGTTTTTCTGCTTTTCCGTCACTACAAACTTTCCATTTTATCTTAATATCCCTTTAGGAGTCGTGACACCCCCTGCTAAGAATCACTGCAACATTACACATAGGACTTTAATATGTCAAAGTTGAGAGTGCAAGAGTAACAGTGAGAAAGACAAAGACAGCAAAAGCAACGTCTGAATAGTGAAGTCGCTGCTGATATTTCAGAACAGAGATTCTTGTTGTTATTCTATTTTTATTTTGATTCTTGTTGAGATTCTATTTATGTTATTAAAGAGCCTAGTGGCAGAATTGTAAGTATCATGTAGGGACTTCATGTTATCCTCAGGAATAAAAAAATATATATATATCACACGACCAAACAACAAAATGAACCAGAAACACAACACTGCAGTTTGACTACAAGGGACTAAAATGACATGTCTGCGCTTTTCAACGCCTACATAAAGTAGTGCATGTGCACACACACAAATATATGCAAACACACAGCGGGGGGGCTGTAATCTCTCTTCTTCTCACTGCAGCTCATATAGTGAATCGCGCAAGATACAATTATACGCAGTGACCTGGGATCACCTACAGGAAATGAAAAAGCATAACAAAAGGGAGTAGAAAAAGAAGAAAAGAGAGAGAGAGAGAGAGAAAGAGAGAAAGAGGGAGACGGGGTTGCCAGAGGGGAATATTTTGAGCATGAAGGAAGAAGAAATTCAGCTTGACAATACCAACATGAGAGGCAGAGACAAATTTCTGTTCAACAGTTTACAGGTGGAGGAAAAACATCCTGACTTTTTGGATCACATGCAGTAAGACATTGTGCATTTTTAATTGAACTCTGACTGCTGCAGACACAAGGAAGAGGTGTGGAGCAAGGTGGGTATGGTATTTCTGCAAACATCCAAAGACCCTTGCAAATTTCGCTGTGCATAGCATACGCAGCCTATACAGAACAGACTACTGTGTTCTTTCCCAGGAACCTTGTCTGCATAGAAATATGCCTCACCTTCATTATTTCCACTGTAGTGTTTGCGAGACAGTCAGTTTCTCGGTTCAGATTGCTAGGTGTGATCGCTTAGCCTAGTAATCATTTTGAAGGTACAAGCATGCAAGCAGTCAAGCAACCAGTGGAGCCAAGATTATTCAGCGATATCTCTGCAGTCTGAAAATGGCAACATACAAGCTGATGAAATATGAAAATATGTGTTGCTTAGTAGTCCTCTATTGAGAAACATTGAATGATTCATCTTAAAATGCAGCAGTTACAGCAGGCCAGCAAGTGCAAAAGTTACCTTGTTGTTTGAACTGAACCCTGCTTTTATTTTGAAGTGAAGTAAGGTAGATCGAAGGGGCGACATTGGAAAAATAAGCTTGTTACGGATACAAAACTAAATAAAAACAGGAAGCTTATCCACGGTGCGCCTAAAGGAGCGACGTCCTTAATAAATCTTTATTTACGGCTGACAACCTTTATATATATATATATATATATATATATATATATATATATATATGGGGCTATATGGATAGATGGATCGATGGATAGATAGATAGTAGTCATACGTCCACTCTGTGCAAGTAAAGCCAAAACATTCCCAAAGTTAGCTTTTTTCTAATGTGTCAACAAAGATCATGTAACAGCCTGAATGAGCTAAATTTAGGACACATCAGTATTGACCTTTATACAGCAGGCTTACATAGGGATACTTTTAAAAGCTTTCTTTTTTTCATTTGTTCTCTATAATGTTGAATATTTGTCTCCAGGTGTATCCTAAAATAGAATTAAAATGCCCTAAAATAAGAACATTTTCAGCTAATGATTTATTTGAGACACAGTGTGTCTTTTCATTTTATTAATTTAACTAGAGAAGACAGCTATTCCCACCCCCATTTACCATAAAAAACAACAAAAAAGATCAGAGTGTTATATATTCCCACAAGCTAACACAACATCTCTAGAACAAACAACGCTGGCAGCGACCACAATCTTACTGAGGCTGCTGTTGCAGCATCTGTGAGGAGGTTCCTTTTCCCAACTCATCTCAGTTTGATGTTTGACTGGTTCTGTCAGCTGTTGTGTTAAGAGGCAAAATTCTTGTACTCTCAAGTCCCAATTTTATTTAGCCTGGAGGAGCACAGAGAGCAATGAACTGAGTGTGACAGGAACATGTTCTTACCTGAGACTCAAGGTCAGTCGTTCATCTTTGGCCCTCAGCAGATCACTGACTGAAAAAGTGGCACTACCCAGGAAGTTGCTCTGCAGAAACAAATGGAAATGAAAAAAAGCACAGCAGGTTACTATAGGGCAAAAGACAACCAATCAGCAACTGTTTCCTTCCTGTGATTTTCAATAGGGGTGATATGAAGAGTTAAGTGTGAGACTCTGAGCTCTGAGATCTAAGAAAGCATAAAAAAAAAAGTGTGATCTTGTTGACACTATGCACAGAGACCTTCAGCCTCCACTTTCTCAGCGCTATGACAACAAGTGTTTTCTGCAGGCATGTCAGCACACGAGAAGTGGGTCATATAGAATGAGGACTAGGGGACGAGGCCGTCAATAACAAAGAGAGATGATCTACATTGGTAGAAAACACACACACACACACGTTCAATAAAAGAATAAATAACATCAAATCCAAACACACATAGAGAGCAAGTCTTGAACCTGAAAGTAACAACATCAGCATGTGCTGCTGAAGGGGAGGGTTAAGACCGTGCCAATGACACAGAGGCTAATGTAAACAAAGCTTAAACCTAGGTAATTAACAGGTACAAAGGAGATTCCTAATACTTCACAATTCTGGGTAAAAAGATTAAAGCCTCCTCACTTTCATCTTTGAAATATTGAAACACTACACTTTTAAGTGTCTCCTTTTAATTTTAAGGCATCTTCTACAGCGCCTGAGATGGGCCTTCAAACACTCAGGTGACAGTGAGAAATAAGACAACCTGTGTGTTGCCCTGGTCTGCTCTTTTAGAAAGCTGTCACAGGCTGGCTTCTGAAGATAAAACAGGATTGTCTCTTTCCTTTAATGGTCTCAAAGGAGTTTCACAAACGGTAACCAAACACAGCAAAGCCCATTATGTTTTTACTAGATACATAAACAGTTGTAATGGTGGAAAAAAACAAACAATGATTTGATTCCTCACATGAGTACTGCCCCCGAAACGGACCTTTCTAATCAGATTAGGAATGATGGCATTGGGTCATGTCTGGGACGACAAGTAACAACCAGACTATGCAGTTTCTGAGCAATTACTGTGTTAATGCCGCATGCTGAAAGATGGAGCTCTGTTGCTTATGCTGCATCTTAAAAGTTAGATAAGTAATGTATGCAAGATGTGGAATATATATTTCATTTCATTTTCAGTTTTTTTTTTTTTCGAACATGTTTTAAAAATAGAATAAAAATATACATTAAAAACAAAGCAAACAGCAAGCAAAGTATACTTTCTGTAGTGGCTCGATTATTTTTCCTTAACCAGTCCATGTTCGAAAAGGGTGTAGGATGAAGTTAAATGACTTATCCAGTCCTACCCCTTTTATCTTTTTATCTTAATAAATGAATCCAAGACTAAGCTTTAAAAAATAAAGTAGAATAATACAGATAACGAAGTAACAAAAGCAACAGATATAATGTTTTACACACATTAATTGGTAGACGGTACAGAACTTACAACTGATAGATTCAATTTTTCCCATAGACTGTTCAATTTTATATTTGTATAATATGTTATTCTTGAAAATGTGTTTAAAGTGTCCTCGTGTTTTACATGTTTTCATTTCATCACTGCAGCTGTTCCATAAATTAACACCCTTTGTTGTAATACAGTGTAGTTTCATGTAGGTCTTTACTGCTGTTTTTTTTTTAAACATAAATATTCCTCTGAGATTGTGTTTACTGTCCCTCTGCTGAAAAAACTTTTGGATACTGTTCGGTATCTGATCATTTTTAACTTTGTACATGATTTGAGTGGTTTTAAAGTCGACCAAGTTCTTGAGTTTCAGTGTTTTCAATTTGATGAAGAGTGGGTTGGTTGGTTCTCTGTACTTGGAGTTATAATTCTTATGGCTCTTTTCTGGAGAATGAAGACTGGTTCTGTATTTGTTTTGTACATGTTCCCACACACTTCCACACAGTAACTAATATATGGGAGTATTAGGGAGCAGTACAGCGTGTTAAGTGACTGTTGATTTAACAGCCCTTTCACTTTAAATAAAATTGCAGTACATTGCGATATTTTTGCCTTAATGTATTGTATGTGTGATTTCCAGGATCATCCAAGAAATTTTATTTCAGCCACTCTTTCAATTTCCACATCATTAATCATAAGTTTCTTGGTCAAGCCAGTTGATCGGTTCCCAAAGATTATAAATTTGGTTTTACTTAAGTTCAATGTTAGTTTATTTGAGTCAAACCAACTCTTCAGTTTCTTTAATTAATTTCCCACTGTATCCAAAAGTTTTTCCAGATTGTCCCCACAGCATAATAAGTTTGTGTCATCTGCAAATAAAATAGTTTTTAAAATACAGGAGACTTCACATATGTTATTGATGTACAGAAGAAATAATAATGGCCCCAACACTGAACCTTTGGGAACGCCACACTTCAACTTCATCTGTTCTGACTGAACCAGATTGATTTGAACATAAGGATATCTGTTGTCTAAGTAACTGCTGAGCCAAGTGAGTGCAATTCCTTTGATTTCTGTAGTTTTATTTGTAATAAGTTATGGTCAACAGTGTCAAATGCTTTTTGAAGATCCAGGAAAACTCCTACGGCATAATCTTTGTTTTCGACGGCTGTTGTGATCGCTTCATTCAGTACGTTTTTTATATTATTCTATATAAAGTAAAAGCAGGAGCTAAACTGCTAATGCTGTGTTTGAAGTTTATTTAAATGCTACATTCATACCAATAATTCAACATTTATTAATTGATTAATCTGTGGACCATCTCCTCTTTTAAAACATAATCATTTTTATATATAAGACATAGGGTTTCCCAATTCAGGGGCTGCAGCCTTCTGAGTACGCATTTGAAGTCTTATGGCACCACATAAGCGGTGCATCGAAAGCTGTCCCATTTGGAAGGCTCCTTCGCAGGCAGCTGACAAATGCATCCTTCTTTTAGAGCTAAAGAAGGATCCATCATGGTGCATCCTTCAGCTGCATCCTTCATGGCCAACAATCATTGGGTGCCATTTTTGTTCATTTTTTTGTAAACCTTTACTGAAAATCAGAGTCTTTCATTGCAATTATGAATTGGTATATAGCATACCACCATAGACTATGCGGGAGGAAATGAAGGTATACAAATAAGATAAACTGAAAGCAAAATAAGTCAGAAGTCTGCTGAGGTTGCTAGGTGACAGGTGCAGTGTTTATAAACGACAGGGTGAGGGCGGGGACAGCTGGTGACGCGTACAGGGAATCCTCCATAGAGCAAGCTGTCTCATTTCAGTTTGGCCAGAGGGGTTCACACGTGCTAAGAAGGCTAGGTCTGCCCTATGTCCTTTGAAGGATGCTATCCCTGAATTGGGACACAGCTTTAGTGTCAACACTAAAAAAAAACACACAAAGTGATGGATCACATAATGACTTCCCTCTAATCTAGAATGCTGTCTTGAAATTCCTCCGTTTATCAGAGAAGCAGTCCAAACCCAAAAACATTCAGCTTACTTTAATGAATCACAAAAAAAGCAACACATTATGTTTCTGTTCTGGATCCAGATAATCTTTTGAACTCTACCTACAACACATACTGACTTATTTGAAATAAATTAACAGTTCCCAAAGTCACTTTTCTCCATCAAGTCATCAGTCATACAACGACAAATCTACATGACTCATTTACGTTAGTTTCTTAGTCAGCATGCCTTTAAAATCGATTCATTAAGGATTGATTCATAAATTAATTTCCCAGCATCAAAGCAGCCCATGACCCTATTTTACCTGGCTGATTCCATGCAGTGATCTATGCAATATTGGAAATACTGGAAAAGAGACACTGGGAAAATTCCAGGATCAGTATCATCAGAATATCAGAGAGAGAGAGGTCAGATATGTTGATCTAGCAAAGCATCACAAAGGGTATTTAACAGTCCAATAAAGCTTAGGTCACATGACAACCATGTTCAGAGGGCATGACTGATTAGATGGAGCACCCCGAAACACAGCGAGGCTTACAGTTCACATGACTGCTCTGTTCTCCATTATAAAGCCATCTCAGCCATGACTCATTGATTTTTAGATTTATAAGATTAGAAAGGGTTTCCAGCCTAAAGTATTTTGCCAAATGTTCTCAGTTATATATATATATCAATACCATCATGTTGTTTTTCTTCACCTTTTTTTTGTTAGGTTATCAGGCTCCACTTTTACCTCTGATCTTGGTTCCTCCCCTTCCCGTATGCACTTGGTCGCTTTTTCCTTCCCTTTCTTCAGGTCTCTCTGCAGTCTGTTATATCAGATTTTAAAAAAAGGGCATCCTGTCTACTGACCTTTTCTCTCAATCATTTCCTCCCCAAGCATTCTCCTGCAACCCCATAAGAGTCTTGCATATGCTTAGGGTGAAACACTGCCCACAACTCATTCTTCTTCGTATGCCCACTCACAAGTAAGCAAACACTGAGACATACGCATGCATGCACACGTAGAGAGAAAGAGGAAGAGACCAAGATAAAAGGTCAGTCAACAGTGCTAAGAAAAAAAAACATAAAACACAGAATACACAAGGAAGGTTTAAAAAACCATCTCAAATTTCCAAAGAAAAAACACACCACCCAGAGCTTATATTCAAGTTTGTGCAGCAAAGTGCCATGTCTTTATAAATTAAACAGAGCCCGACCCCAGTGGGAACCAGTTAATATGCACAGCGTCATATTCTTCAGCACTGAAATCATATCCTCGCCAGTTCTAGTTTGCCCTGATAACCCAGAGCACGAGGCACAGAAGGCCATTACACACCGTGGAGGAACATTATATCCCCATGTAGCCATTACTCGCGGGCCGATACAGAACGTCTGGTAAATGGTCTTAGAATTCCATTCCTTAGCATCTTTTTATGGCCCCTCACGATGAAGGCTTTAAAAGTAATGAAGCTCCGAGACCGTCTTCTTACGCAAGATCAAAGTGGTTGTATGGCAGAAAATGAGAGAAAGATGGGGAGGAAAGAGGAGGAGTGGAGTGAGAAAAGAAGACAAATCATGCTCCTCCAGGATCATGGAGGATTGATTATGATGGTCTCGCTCTCTT